GGGTGCTGGGGCAGAAAGGAGAGGAATTTCTCAGTTTATAGGTGGAGTCGATCCTGCATGATAGTGAGAGGTCAGCCGCAGGGGGATCCTCCATGACTGCTGGGCCATGCGCAGTAGTGCAGGGAGCAAGGGAAGCGAGACCTTTCTCAGTGAGAGAAAGGCCTGAGGACAAGAAGCCGTACACAGGGTCCACCTCCAGCTCTGCAGGGGTAGAGGCCTGAACTCCCAGGTCCTCCACCATGTGGCGGACCAGGTCTGCAAAGTGCTGCCTCCCTCCTGGTGACACAGGGGGTCCTGCTTCAGGGCCCGCACCTCGGCAGGAGGCGGGGATAGCGATCAGGACTGTTGGGGGTAAGGCTCTGACCCGACTCCCTTGAGAGAGACTGGCAGCGATCAAGGGTGCTGTGCGCTCAACCCAGTGCTGAAGGACTTGGGTACTGCCTTGCAGGAGGAGTAGTGGCAGCAATGGGCGCTGCAGTTGCAGGAAGTCTGGTGGTCTAGGCTATTGTCCTTGGCTTCTCTCCTGAGGGTGGTGTGGTCTCTGGTGCCCGTGGGGATGTCAGTGCTCGGGATTGGAGCAGAATCACTGTCCTCCTGGTGCTGGGCCCTGCTAGTGCTCTTTAGCATTGGAGGATGCCTCGCACCATTGCTCCAACGGGTGGCACTGGTCTCTGTCAACACCACGTGATCCAGCATGCTCTGTCTTGGTGTCGAGATCTCCTGGAAAGTCGGCGTCTGGGCTCAGTTGCCAGCAAGGAGCAGAGGCAGGTCCATTCAGTGGGCCGGTGACTGGTGGGAGGTAGCTCAGCAGGTCTGCATTGGCCATCAGCGTGGTGGTGCCAGCCTTGGGAGGGCGGTAGACTGGGGGGCCGCTCCACAGAAGAAGAGTCGGACTTAATGCAGCACCTCCTCCATTGCTTCGCCGTCATGGCCGGTGGGTCCAAGGAGCTGGACCGGTCATGTATGTTGAGGCTGGGGACCAAGAGGAGGAACCTTTCCAATTAGGGAAGGAGGAGTGTGACGACAGCAGTGGTCCCATGGAGGTGGAGGGCCGGGTGGCAGACAGGGAAAGTGATACCCACTCATGGCTGTGTGGAGAGGCCACAAATTGGCAGAGGCACATGAAATACAGGTAGGAAGGCTAGGCGGGGGAGGAGAGGCAGGAGGCAGTGGGAAGTGGCCCTGGAGAGCAGGTGGAGGTTTGAGGGTAGAGAAAAGTTGTGAAAAGTGAGGAAAGTGTGTGTGTGTGTGTGTGTGTGTGAGAGAGAGAGAGAGAGAGAGAGAGTGGGGGGGGAGAGAGAGGGAGGGAGGGAGAGAGAGGCAGGGAAGAGAGGAAAAAGCAAGGCAGAGCCGAGAAGTTCTGACCCGTGACTATGTGTGCAGTTGAAAAGGAACTGAGGGACTGGGCGGGGCGGGGCGGAACCCGCCCCCCATCTGGACTTATGGAAGAGGCATCGTGGGGCCCCCGCCCACTCCGTTCTGCTGAGGTTTGGAAGTTTTCTCTCTGATCCAGGCCTTGCACTGCGCAGAAAAACCCATTCATGTGATTGCAGAGAGACCACAAAGAAGAATTGTATTCACGAGTACGGAAAGAATGTCCTGAAGTCGATGGGCAACGCTTGTTGATTTCAGTGGAATTCAGTGTTTCCTCTGAAGAAGTAGCCTTCTTCCATTACTTCATGCCAAGTCCCACTACACTGCAGACTGCGCTAGATACTTACACAATAAAGTTACACAACAGCACCAGTGGACATATTAAGCAATGGCAAAGGTGTTTTTTTTATTTTTGTAGCACAGAAGATCAGCAATATGTTGTAAGGAAATAATATCAAAATACCTGTGGGTCCTCTGAACTGGGCTTGTAGCCAGATGAAATGGAAAAGAATGCACCCTCAGAACACAGCTGTTCAATTCTTCAGTTGCAAATACTTCCAAAAAGAAATACTCTCTCTCAATATAGTTCAAATATATTGGTGACTATGTTGTGAGCTGGGGTTTTCTTCTCTTTGCAGATTCAAGGCAATGGATTGCTCTTTTTGCAAAAACTTTATTCACCAAAGTACAGTGCTTCTGTACGGTTCACAAACGCCTTAGTTCACCACCAAATTGGTTCACAAACAAAAATTTTGCCTCGGTTTGTGAACTCTGCATCGGACGACGACCACAATCGTGGCCATCTTCCCCGCTCGCGGTCACAGACAGACCTGTGGTCACTTGCTGTGAAGCTTTTTCGTGTGCTTTTTAGCACATACAGTATTGTAAAGTATTACTCAATAATACTATAGAATAATGGTTCCAAAGAAAGTGCAGAGCAAACATGGTGGTAAAATGAACATGCAGAGCAGTAACGAAGGTGACCAGAATGTGCAGATTTTTTGCCAAAATTGATCCTGCATCTAAGAGGCAAAGAAGAGAGGAAACCCCTGAAGATCTCCCCGATGTCCTTATGGAAGGGCTCTCCCTCAAAACAATAACCTCCCCCTCACCTAGGTTAGTGTTATCTACTGCAGTGTACTTTGTTACTTTGTTTAAATTTTTGTGATAAAAAAATATTTGCAGAACGGATTAACCTTATTGAACCTTATGGGCAAATTTGACTCGGTTCGTGAACAATTCAGGTGGCAACCAGAATCGTGGAACAAATTAAGTTCATAAACCAAGGTACCACTGTATACTCAACAAACTCAAACAGCACAGTATTTATGTCTGAGCATATACAGCACTTTATTGAACCCAATCTCTAAACAACTACTTTCAGAAATCTTTTGAGTATTTCTTTTGAGTATTTCTGGGCCCAGTCCTATTTGGAAGCAAGCATGCCTTTGCTCTGCAAACTGATCCTCTAGCTGGCTGGCTCTCCCCTTCTGACACAGCATCCTGGGGTCAAAAGTAGTACCAGGTTCACCTGACACTGAGAGCTTCTCTCTCATCCAACAGCTGTGTTTTGGTTACTTTCAGAGCCTGCCTGAACAAGTCTGCCTGCCTTGAGATAAGCACCTCCACTTTTCTTATCTCAGTCTGAAGCCCCACATTCCCAGCCCCCCTCCCCCTCCTAACCTCCTTCTGATGATGAGTCCAGATTGGTGGGAATCAGGAATGTGCACCAAGAACAACTGCTCCTCTCATTCCCAACATTCTAATTTTCAGGAAGTTGATGCTGCTTACTTACCTATGGATAAGGCACAAGTGGATCCAGCAAAAATTGATCTTTCAGTGGGCACTGGACTTCCTCAATTTCCTATTTATTTTCATGAAGTGGCAATCATCTCAAGGACTCCACAACACCTTTTGAGTTGGCACAAGTACTATCCCAAATCAGTAATTTCCTTATAAAGAGTGAGCCCTGGGTGGCTTAAGTTCAACACATGCTAACTGCAAAGAGCTCCAGAAAGACAATTATATGTAGGTGGTCAACAAAATAGCAAATACTAAGGTAAAGCACATCCAAGACAAGTGTACACTGATGGGATCCTAACCTCACACACAGAAAGATGGAGCCCAAATTGGTGGTGCTTAACAAAAGATTGTTCTTGAAGTCACCATGTAGAATTAGAAAAGAACATCAAGTTAGACATCAAGTCAGTGTGTAGTGACTGTGAGAAAAGCAAATTCCATGCTACAATTTCTAAAGAAAGAGCCTGAGAACAGATCTACCTCTACACGAACCTTAATATAATTCTGAAGCAGCTACATTTCAAATATGATAAACAGTTCTGATTGTTCCCATATCAGAAAAGGTGCATTTTATTTGTGTGTGTGTGTGTGGAAACAATATAAAGGACCCAATTAGGTTTACATAAATTATGTTTAACACAAATAAGTCTTTCTCTCTCACACACAAAACCAGAAATGGTCTACCAAAGGAATCAAATGGTAGTGAAGACAAAACAGACAAGAGTATTTTGCACAATGCCTTATTAATGCATGGAATTCACCACTATAAGATGTGGTGAAGGTAACAAATGCCCTGGGCTTAAAAGGGTTAGCAAATTTATGAAACAGATTAATTTTATGATGAACAGTCATGACCATGTAGAAGTTTCATGGCTACTTCCCAGAAATGTCAATGGCATATTGCCTAGCACCAACTACAGTGCTGAGTCTTACATGGCTCTCTCAAACCATAAAATGAGAGATGGTTGTGATACTTAATGGGGACAGGAAATGGTAATATTAACAGTGCAACCCTCTTATGCACTTCATGGATCCTCTATCCATTCAATTCAGTGAAAAAAATCAGGCATAAAATGTTTGATTCCACTTGAGTTCCTTGAAGTTGTCTCCCACTTCATGGTGTTCTTAATTCAGAAATGAAATTCAACCAAAACTTTGAAAAGCTTCAGTCATCACTATTGATGACAAAACAATCACCAGCCTTTGCCGTCTCTTAAATTGCTGCCTATAGCTAGACAAGGTAGCTGACTCCTAATTGCTCTGAGCGGCTAAAATAGTTCTCTGGCTTAAGCTGTTCTTGAAATATCGTGTAACAATGTTTAGCCTTTCCCAGCCTGGCAACCTTCAGGTGTACTGGGCTGCAACTCCCCAAATTCCAAGCCAGCATGTGCAATGGAGAGGGATTATAGGAGCTGCAGTCTGATGCATCTGGAAGTTGCCAGATTGGAGAAGGCTTCTTGAGGTAATTCACCTCATAGCTGTAAAGAAAGATGATCCCCACCATTCTGTGCTATAAAATATAAATAAGAGCCATTGTGATGTGATGGAGAAAGTGTGTGAAGCAGACCTGGTTTCTTATCTGTTCAGCATGACGAGCATTGACTAAGGTGAAGCTATTTGTATACCTTTCTCTTAACCTCTCTCATAGTGTTAATGTGAGAAAAACTACCATGTGTGCCATCCTAGTGAGGCATTAGGTTTAGGTCTATCTGGACTGTATTCATTCTATACTTGCAATGCACCTTGCAAGTACATGTATCTTTGTTCTATTGTGCTGTAGAACTATTTTGTTTTTTTCCCAAAGAAAATGAAACAAGAACATGAAGTATCAGAAAAAAAGGCAATATATTTAGGCTTACACCGTATTTCAAACTGATTTTGGTTTCAAGCAAATCAAATCAGAAAGTCTGTTTTATGACAATAAATGACCCAGACAACCGTAATTAAAGAAAGAGAGGAAGGGGGAAACAAAAAAAAAGCTCTATCACACTTAATATAGAAACCAAGGCTTGCTCTCTTCCACAGGAATGCTCCAGGGAATGTTAGTTTCAGCTCTTTGTGGGGGTTCCCCCTTCCCCCTTTGGTTTGTAACCAACAAAAGATCTACTGTTTGGTTAAAGCAAAGCAAAAGTCCTTTTTTTGCAGTCTTACAGCAGCAAGTTTCATATCACCAGTAGGAAACACACACATGCATTTACTGCAGTCAAACACACATACACACTGACAGACGTAGTACAGTAGCCCGTTACTGCTATCGAGAGAGAGAACAAAGACACTCAAGTTTTTTTTAAGTGGTCAATTGTTAAAATACAGGGGGTGGGGGGGGGAGAGAGAGCGAGAGAGAGAGAGAGAATACTGTATGAGTCTTCCACATTGATGCTACAAGTCATCCTTTTGCAAGATAAATTTCTTGTCTCCATTTGTTCAAGAAGCATCACTGAAACCTGAAGGCACACTGGCCAAAAAGATAGTCCTGTTCGTTCTGCACGCGCACATGCACGTACACACAAGTGCTTGGTTTTGTTTTGCTTTGATATTTTAATTAGCTAGCTGGCCTTAAATTGTGAAGCTCCTGACTTTTTTCAGTCGCAGCACACCAGCTGTTATTTTGAGATCACAGTACTGGAAAAGATAACTTCTCTGTCAGAAAGTTCAACTCAAAACTGTACCTTTTAGAGGCATTACATGAAGGAATATATTGGCCTTAACAAAATAAACAAAAGGCAACAACAGAAGGGGCAGAAAACCACTTTTTGCATAAACTTTATACTTCAGGGGTGGATGCTTTGCTTTTGGAAGAAAATGAACCTCTACAGTGACCAGCTTCATAAGGAAAAGCTGCTATAACCAATGATGCACCAGAGGTAACAGCACTGCATGTTTGTTTGTTTAATGACACTCATCCACACACCTTTGGGGAATTAATTTAACAGCTCTAACTAGACAGACCACCATAGCCATTAAATGCCACTGGCCTCTGGGAAGACACCTGGAAAGACAGAGTAGGGAAGAGATACAGTAATACTCCTTGTTCTCACAGGGTCAGATCTGATCAAAAATAAAGCAGATGTTGAAAACTTTAAGACAAGAGCCAACCAAATAAACTATCACCAAAATCAGCAATGGGGAGGGAGGGGGGAGAGAGAGAGAGAGAGAGAGAGAGGACACGCACGCACACACGCACACACACTCTTACACACATATAAATGATATCACATTTAATCTTAAGCCCCTAACCAGGCAGAGGAGAGGACAGGGGAGGGAGGAAGCTAGCTTAGAAGTTGCTGCCTCTTCCTCCAAAGATTCATGGTTATCCCCATAGTTACACTTGAAGAAAAAGGTGAACCAACTTGTTTTTGGTTGCAGGTCATTGTTTATCCTTTTGTAAAGCTTCCCTTTGCCATTTTAGCTGGGGGATGTATTGGCATGAGAGTTTGGAGAGTCCTGCTCATTTATTGTATTCAGAAGCACACACACAGGCTGGCGGGGGAGGTGATGGTGGTTATGCTCTCGGTGCTGCTCATCTGAAGCATTGAAAAGCCCTTCTTCCTCATCTCCATGTGGAGGGTGGCTACTGCAACTATCACAGAAGTCCATGGGTCCATCATCAATGAACCCATCCAACTCCTTGAGATCACCATCATGGTGACCTTGGTTACAGATACAGATTTCAATGCCTGAGTCACCGGTGAACCGTCGGTGTCTGCCTGGTGTCTTGTCTTTAGCATCAGAGAAGGCGCTGTTGTGGTCTAAACTTTCAGAGTTGAAATCCTTAAGCAGTTCCTCCTTGCATTCTGACTCCTTATCAGGATAGGATAAATGGGCAGGTGTCTCTTGTAATTCTGCCCCATTGTTGGAGTTCCTTGGCTCGCCACTTGTTACTTTGGTGGTTGATCCGTCAACTTGTGGGGTGGAGGATTCAGGATCCCTAATGCTGGGGGAGGCAGTGCTGTCTGTGTTTCCATTATTGCTTCCTGCTCCTGACAGAGAGCCTGTTGGTGCTGGCTGTAGGTTTCTTGTGTCTGGTGCTGCATTGCCATTGCCAGGCGGGACGCATTGCTGATGTAAGGCACTATATGGTGGGGGAGGGGTTGGAGGTCGGTTCACCACTTCCTCATAGGGAGGTAGTAAATAATTTGGCAAAAATCCTAAATGGGGAGGCAGGGAGGACAAGTTACTTCCAGATTATTTTGACAGATAAAATCTAAATGCTGTTGGAATATAACACACTGGCTGCTGTAAGCAATTTACTTCCATATTATTTTAATTAAAAATAGTTTTGGTTTAGGACATGGTAATTGCCCACACTTTACAGCTTTACCTCAGTTTTTTATAACTGTGACCTGATTTGCATAATTACAGCAGTGCCCACAGGTACTAGATTGGCAATCCAGGCCCTTGTTGAAATTCTGGTTGGCTTCTCATTATGTATGAGTCCAGCAAGAGTTAGTTGTTTACCTGCTTAACAAGCCACAAAGAATCCATATCCTGTTTTAGGATTGTTAAGTGGCTTGCAATCGAACCAAACAACCCACTCTTGGCTTCACACATAATAAGAAGCCATGCCATGCCCCAAATGTTCACAATGGTGGCTGCTGCTGCAACAGAACGCTTTACAGGAAATTCATCCATGGTAGCTTCTTGTTATGTACGAACTGGGCACAGCACACATATGCAATGAGGCTGTATGCATAAACCAATGGGAGTTTGGGTGGATTTTGATGCAAAGGAGAGCACATTTAAATTGTATGTTCTTTAACTAGACAAAGAGTCATATGGAGAATTTACAAAAATCAGTATCTATGTTCAAGGTGTCCAGCTATTTAAGCCTAAAGACCCAGAACAGAACTATTTTGCCTGTATATAGAGTTATGTCAGTAAGAAATCTTAGTACTTCCCACCTGTACCATTACCCCTTTTCTTCTTTGACATTCAGCCTTTTCGTATCTCTTACTATATTGGCCTAGTTGTTCTGGCATCCTACTACCCTTTTTCATTTTTCTCTATTGAGTGAGATAAGGGATCTGGGTAGGCCAACTTACTTTCTTTTTTAATGATAAAAATCTTTATCAAAAACAATGCAGGCAAAAGGAAACAGTATCAGAGAACATTATGAATTCTCTTGACAAGAGATCTTAGGTATACAGTGACAGTGCCCTGAAGATTATTCGCTATGCCTCTTTGTTACTGTAGCTCCCAGTGGTACTTGTGCTGTGTCAGCTACAGAGGAAGAGGTGTGGGACGTAAAAACATTTAGCTTTATCACTGCTGCTGCCTAGACCAATACTCAATGAATCTGCTAACTGACTTCCTCTATTTACGTTACAAGCTAATAAAACTGGAAAATAAGTCAAAGCTAAGTATTGCTCTGCAATATCATGTATAAAGTCAGTTCAAGTCTATGTGAACCAACCATTTATCCAGAGAATTCAGAACTTGGCCCTATTAGTAACATATTAGCTGTCATTCTGTTTCCGCTAGTATGGTCACGCTGATGGCAAGGGAAGGGTTGAAACTGTCCCCTTGTCTCACCATCCCCAGCACACCTACTTGCACCCGTGCACACCACTTGCTGTGGATCTCCATTGTAACTGTGACCCCCCACCCCCAATACAGCAATGCTTTGTTCTTGCTCTTTGAAAGCAACTTGCTCCTTGCATGCAGTACGTACGGAAATAAAATGGCAGGGTGGAGTAGTTATGAGCTTCACGATAGGCAATCAGGTTAATTTCATGCTGCCGTTGTTGTGCCTGAAGTCTGTGTTTGGCACGTCTGTGATGGCAAACACAACAGCAGCTCAGTATGATGATGATCGTCCATACTAGCCAGAACCCTGTGGAAAAAGCAGAGTGGGAAAGAAGAAAGGAATTAGTCTTACTACGAGTGTTTGTTCCTTTTGAAAAAGACTGTTACTGTGAAGCTATAGAGATAACCTTTTGAAACAAGGGTGGACCTATTGATGTTGTTTGATTACAGTTGTTTGATTTCATTGGAGAGATATATCCAATTTCTTAATATGAGGTTTTCAGGGAAAACAAGGAACACACAGGCATAAACACCCTCTCAACATTTTTCCCCTAGTCCTTTTACATTTTTAGTCTCAGTGAATTAATAGATGATTTCTTAAGGCCTCCAAGAAGCATTTATATAGCATTTTTACTTGTTCATGTTTTCAGCTACAGGACACCTCATAATATTGTCGAACATGACAGGTTTTCTATCTGCTGAATTGCTAAATCTAAAGAAGCTAAAGTATTTCCAAGTCCCTGGAATGGATGAGCATAGCCATTTCAGTACAAGTAGATACTTTGGAGAATACAGTTGATAGTGAGATAATAAAACTATCTGCATATCAGGAAGCAAAAAAGGCATCAAGGGCCTCAGCATGTCCAAGAAATCTTTATTCCAGAAAAAATCAAAATCTCTGAAAGCAATTTCCAGGATTATTTTATTTATTTATTTATTTATTTAAAACATTTCTATGCCGCCTCCATCGCAACAAAGCCTCGGGGCGGCTCACAAATTATGTCACCTTTCTCTGCATATAACTTAGTGTTTCAACTTGTCAGCCTTCAACTGACAATCTTGTAGTGGGTTGTCTTTTTCTCTTGCCCTTGCATCATGTCCTCTCCCTGAAAGAACTGACAAAAGAGCTGTTGTACTGATTAGCTTCAGTTAGTTGTACTGATTAGGTGTTTATCACCACCCCATTCTTTGACCATTGGCTGTTTTTGACTGACTACTTAAAACGTTTCCAGACCATCTTCTTTCTTTTCTCTAAGTAATGGGTTAATTGTTAATTACTATTACTTAAACTTTCCAGCATCCTTTTATTTAGCTTGTTTTGTCTCCCCAGTACAGAGTCTCACATTCCTTATAGGGAGAATGATTCAGCCTCAGCTGCCTCCTGTGTCTATTTGAAAGTTCTAAGAAACATTTTGAGAATTAAGCACTGGAAACATCAGATAGTCGATTTTTGTTTAGTTGGACTTCCCAAAGGCTTTTGATGAAGTTCCTTGAGCAAACTCAGCAGCTATGGTGTAAAAGGAGTGATCTACTTACAAATCAGTAACTGATTAAAAAAAAAGGAAAATAAAGATTTCAAATAAAATGTCAGTTTTCACAATGGTGGGATGTAAGCACAAGGGTTCTCTGTATTTGGAACAGTGTTTTTTAACTTGTTTGTATATGATCTGCAGATGGGATGAAAAGTAACAATATAAGATGAACAGTAGCATACTGTTACTGTCAGTCAAGTGTGCTCATGATGCTAGATTGTTTAGGGTAATTAGAACAAAAGGGGTCAGCAAAGTGTGCTAAAAGAAGCTCTCCAAACTGGGTGAATGGGCATTATAATGATGATGAATATAGTTCAGTCTAAGCAAGCATACCGTCAACATTTTGGGTAGCAAAAATAAAGTAAAATAAAAAATAAAAATCTTAACAGATAGGGTGACAGGATCTAATTTGGTGGTGATCACCCAAGAAAGGAAAAGGCAGGTTCCTTATCTTTAACTGATGTTCATTTAGTGGTCATCTACACATTCACACATATGGGATTCATGCCTGTGTGGACCCTATTGTCAGGAAGCTTCTATAGCTAAGTGTTTGACTGGGCATAAGTCCCTCCCTTTCCTTTCCAGGAGTGCATGGGAGGGGCTCTCACTCATTCCCTCAATTCCACTGAGACTGCCATAGGTCCTGACCAAGGTATTTTATGTTGGCCTGCCCCTGCCCCTGCCCCTGTGGAACAAGATAATCCACTATATAGGCCTTTGCACTAATCCATCATGGTGTTTTTTAATCTTCCCAGACAGTATGAAATCCTTTTAATACAAGTTTATAAATAGCTAGATTTAACTTTAAACACAGTTATCTCCCCACTCCAGGCTTGCCTGAAGAGTGGACGGAGGTACATATTCAAATCCATCCTTTAGTTGATGCTTGGTATGAAGATGCCACAGCAGAAAAACATATATGTATCTCTTTTTTTAGAGAGGTATATGTGTCTTGGGACTTAGGATACCTCAGACAGGGAGTAGAACCCTATGTGCTCCGAGATAAGCCAAGTAGGTGGTGAGACCCAGACTGTCTCTGGAACTGCTGAACAGGCACAGAAAAGGACAAATGTAGCATGATCAGTCCCATAATCCAAAAGATCAGATCCAACATCTTACCAAAACAGCTGACTAATTGGTTAGTGTTCAGCATTCCCATTGTCTGGACAACAAGCAGTAGGAACCTCCCTGAAGGTACAGCTAAGTCCATTTGGTTGGAAAGGGAGAGATTCAGTTTAGAATTAGCTTTGTGGCATGAGCAGTAATCTCCCTAATTAACTGGCTTCCTAGCTTACTGTATGTCTTTCTAACTTGCCCTGGGTTTTTTTACCAACAACTCTACAATCCTCCTTTTGTGTCACAAAGCCACCTTGGCTTGCCCACTTTAACATATTAAGATGGTAGTTTGAAGCTTTTTGTCTTCATCTGTTTGAGGGGAGAAATGGGGTGAATGGGAGACATCAATGTAGTCCAAACAGCAATTCAATGACTATCAGGATTAGTCCAAATGGCAAGTCTAAATTAGCAATTTCCTATACTAGTTGCAATCATTTTCTTAGACTACTCTCCCTTTATCCTCCATTTTAAAGCAACTGAATAAAGCACGTAAGCAAAACCAAAAAGATTAGAATTACATGCAGCCTGAATTTCTGGTAGGAACCAAAATTTGCTCTTGGCTATAATTTTCACTGGTCACAAAGTGACTTCACTTTAGGTATTATCAACTCTAAAAGGAATTCCTGCATTTTCTGTGTTGGAAAACATTAAATTGATTTTCCATTCATTCCGACCAGAAGCACTGTACTAGAATTGTACCCCTGGTAAAAGTAGAAGTGCGGTGGTGGAGGTGGGAACTAGGTCAAATACCACTAGGGAGGGGATAATCAACTAGGTATCAATAAGCTGTGACTGAAATTGGCAAGTGGACGAATTCATGAGGGAGGAGGCTATCAGTGGCTAATAGTCTTGCTGGCTATGTGCTACCTTCTTTACGTGCCTGTATACACCAGTTGCTGAGGAGCTTGGGCAGGAGGAAGTCTTGCACCCATCCTGATTGAAGGGTCCTGTGGGCAGCTGGTTTGCCACTATGTGTATGGTGTGCTGGGCTACATGGACCTTGAGTCTGATCCAGCATAGCTTTCCTTGTGTTCTTAAGTGTATACCAATTCTATAGGCCAGCCAACTTCAGACTGTTGCTCTCCATGCTGGCCAATGATGACACGAATTGTACTTCAAAATATTTGAAGCTCTAGCCACTAGAAACAGATAGGCCAGGACACTGATTAGCCTGTCTTCCAGGTTTTCATTTTATTCTGTTTGACCTGGTTGTCTCATAAAGGTCCCAGTGAACTGGACAAAACAGAAAAATCTTTTAGCAGCCAAAGGATATTCTTTTCATGTTTCCCCAGTGGCAGGAGTCCAAGCAAAGATCTCACTGAGGGAAGTACCTTCCATCCTCTGCAAAATGGGAAAACATGTTTTCCCCTTTAGCATTCAAGAACAGGAACAGAATAGTCTGCCCTAGAGTTCACAGTAAACTTGGGCAGATGCCACTGCTTTATTGGCAGGAAACGTCACTAGAGCCAAGCCAGAATGCACAGCAATTGCAAGTAACTTCTCTGCCTGCCTGAGAAGTGGCATACTAGCATAGTGCAAGTCCAGTGCAGGTCCTAAGAGACTGTACTGTAAACTGGGACACATCTCCATTTCAAGTTTCCTCTCAGCCATGAGTTCTCTAGCTGCAAGAGCACTTTTAGATGGTCGAACCAAGGAATAATCGATACACATGCAGGCCTCCTTAGGAAACCACTCCCTTTCTGCCTCCACTTACAAGATGAGATGGTTATCTGAATGCTCTGAAGTACTATATAAAAGCTAAATATTCTTTGTGGGGGTATGGTCTAGCGATAGTTTTCACTCAAACAACAGAGCAATACTTTAATTCTGAGATATCTCTATATTACATGTTTCACCGGGAACAGAAGTTTTCGTCCAAGACTAAAACGATTATTTTATTTTTATTTATTTATCTGAATTATGCTTTTACTGGATGCTTTTATTAAACATCTTTCTCATTACAGTCAAAACTAAAGTGGGTGTCATGTAATGGCTCAGCCTGTGCCAATATTACTACTTTTTTCCTCCAATAATGTTGCTCACATGAACATAGAAGCCTCAGCTATATAAACTCCTAGATCCTATAGCAGGAGAAGGGATTTTTGTATTCTGTAGAGTCAGATGTACAGTTCCTTAAATCCTTACTTGGAGTTTTATTGACAAGGATTAAATCTGAAGCACCAAATGGAATTTTCACAGAATTCCGTGATATTAAAAGATTCTAGAGAATTATATAGTTCACATACGGCAATATAATGAATTGGGAATTAATTCAAAACAATCCCTTCTTTTACTAATGAAATTCACAAACAAAGATTTCTTTGGTTTGGGATGTAGCTGTACTGCCTTTCAACCCAATGAGATGTATTCTCATGTGGTTGTACACTGGCTGCATTAGCATCTAACACTGAGCCATGGTTTGAGTACAAGCCATAGCAATTGTACTCAATTGTACTTGGAATCGTATGCTTCCCTCTCCTATCTACTCGTATGGTAAGGCCACAAGGAAAAGACTGGAAAGCTGATGCTTGCAATTTAAATAAATTGCTGTTTAGCATTACATCGAAACCCTAAAGTGTGGTTAGTCTTCATTATGGTTAACATACCAGCTTCATAAACTACAGTTTGGAATTGGTTTAAGAAATCATAGTTAAGATAA